AATAAACGAGAGACTCCTGGATGAAGAACCTCAGCGTCCTGTGTTTTCTTTAACCTCATCGTCCCTCGCCGGACTCGGCTCCGATCAGCCGGACGCGGCACCTGCTCCCACCTTGACACCCTGCCTGTTCTGCCCCCAATAATCTGTGATCAGGGAACAAAGAGTCCCCGACAAATAATGCCATCTAGATTAACATAATTTTGGTTCAAATAACAAGATTTCATACTGTAAAGGGTCGTTAAGGATAGAGACTCACTGTGTGTTTTATTAAACACAAAAGAAGGGGAAGGAAGGTGAGACAACCAGCAGAGTATGAAGTGAGGAGCTGCTTTGAATGGAATGTGTGTCTGAAACAGGCCTTTAACTAGATTAAAGGTCTTGTAGCAACTCTTTGCTTAAAGCACAGTCTGCTGCTAAAATGCAAATACCCCAGGGGAGCTTATGCCTTAGCCATGTCAGATACAGAGGGACAGAGCTCATGGGAAAGGAGAAGGAGGAAAGTGTGAAGATGGGAAAAGACAAATTTGACAATGATATGGTTTTGCTATTCCCAGCCTCTGGTTATCTCTGAAAATACTTATTGCTTGATGTACAGATTCCTTGACCACGGTACTTCACAGCATTTGGACCAGTGATGTGAGCTTCGGTTTTCCCAAAGGAAAAAATGTCACCTAACATTTGAGGGGCAGAGTTCTAACACAGCTGGGAGTCCCCACACCTTTGAAACCTGGACACAAAAGCTTAAAAGATTAAAATTATAATATTAGAGAGTTGCTTACTTACACCTTTTGAAAGGATCTGGCATTCCGGAGCTAATTCTGGAAAGTCCGCCTTGGAACAATTAGTTTGCCTAATTGAGTAGGAAATGTCAATATTCCATCCAGCTACCACCTGAAACAATTTTGGATCAAATATTTAAAGGACAGTTTATACATTATTCACAATGTTATGAGGAACTTAAAATACTGCCCAGAATATTATAAACACTCAAGAAATAGCAATTTTAATTATTAATAGACAAAAGTCATTACTAAACAAATATCAGCACACCCCTAAATCACAATGCACACAGTCTCATGTACACTTGTACACATCTGAAAATGAAAAGTAATATATAGATGGTGTTACCAGGGGAATCTTAGTAATATTTCCATTGCCAGGATGTAGAAAAACATTTTCTATTGCATTTCATGCAATATTAATGATGCTGCACTGGACAGGTTAAGAAAACTTGGAGCTCAAGTAACCTTGAGGTCCTCAGGTCCTTGGACTAGCCGGCACTAACATTTCTCCTGGTTAGTGTGGGCAAGTCCTGCTCTCACAGCTGGATATGGGCATAAGTGAGCAGCTCGTGTGTCCTTCAGGAAGGCGAGTTGGAAGGGGAAGCAAAAGCAGGAACGTTGCCCGCCAAAGCGAGGCACCATGATCAGAAGTTGAACCACAAGGGATCCAGCCAATTGTCAGCCAAGGCTTCGTGGTTTGAGGCAATGAGAGGATGTTTTATAGTTGCTTGCCCTCCACCCCCAAGTAATACAGTCCATATCTATTTGGAAGGGCAGGACTTTCCCACACTAAACCACAGTGCCCATAAAGCAGTGCCAACTTTTAAGAAACAATTTAATATTTTGGAGCCATGTCTGCCTCTTGAGCACTAGGTGGTGCTAGAGTTTCCTTAAATCCTTCAGGCCCAATGGCTTCTCACCAGGTCTGGCAGGAACTTCTCTTTCATGCAAAGAAATCTACAAGCAGGTGGCCTGAAACACCACCAGAGAGCCTTTCCATGGTGTAGTTTCAAGATCCTTCAACTGACATGGACACTGATACTGCGTGTTAATCACAGGAGGAAGCAGAAGAGTCCTTCGCTATAGCTGTGGAATCCAGTTGTTTTTGTTCAGTCTACAGTTTACCTCAGTTGATGAAATCCTCTGCATAGAAATCTAATAAATTTTAACAATATTGTGCAAAATGAAAAATTAAAGAACAAACCTGTGTAAAAGCACGCATTGTTTTTTCAATATCAAAGAGGTGAGAGTGACTGCTGTTCTTGTTAAAATGTGAAACAGCATGTTTCAGGATTTCTTTCACTTTGGGGTCCTCTGTTGATATGGGGTACTTGCAACCAGGGCAACTGTGCTGGAAAATCACCGCAGGTCCCTCCGCTTGACAATGAGAGGCAAAATAAGAGGCAATGTTACCGAGAGAAACCAGCATTCAGCTGTATTGCCCCACATAAGTCAGACAATCTTGAGGTCCTGATAAACAAACTTCACCATAAGCCCAGGTATGAATTATAAAAAGAAAACAGAGATGAAAAACACTACCATTGCTTTGGGAGCTTCTTATATACATAGGACAACATTGTGCACTACTATTTCACGTTCATTTTAAAGTTCTTTAATTATAGAATATGTGAATTTATCCTTTATAAGAAATTAAAGCCTTGCAGATTTTATTTCAATGTTAAGTAAAGCCCTCTGAAGCCAGCTTGGGGTACAGTCTTGTAACGATCCAATCCACCAAACATGACTCTTGCCCCAGCTGTGATGCCAGTACTGGCAGGCTCTCTTGGATCCATCAATTCCTTAGTAGTGGTTGTTCTCACAAGGAACTGGGCAAAGTCCAGTGTGAGAGACAGAACTGTTGATGGATCATTTCAATATAATTTGACAGGAGTTTAGAAAGGCAAGAGCCCAGGGACACTCCTGAGGTGAGGAGGCCAGAGATAAAAAAAAAAAAAAAAAAAAAAAAAAAAAAAAAAGACAATCAGCTGGTCAACCTGAGGCTCAAAGCCTGAGGAGGAGGAGCAGATGGTTTAGCATATTACATACCTAGATGCATGACTTGCTGGGCCACTGTCATTTTTGCTATCCTTCTCGTTGCTGACCAAGACAAGGTTAAGGCATGCATATGTATTTTCCAGGGCTCATGGCCCCTTTGGTGAACCTCATGGAAGTCAGATCATCCTCCCCAGGAACATGCACATGCAACATTCTCCACATAACATCAGGGGATTTGCAAACCCTGAAGTGAATTTTGACAGGACTGCTGTGAGGGTTTTTAATAAAATAATGCAAAATACTAAAAAGGGGTAGGTTTGTATTAAATGAGTAATCCTCTCAGGACTTCCTTCCCTGGTGGTCTGTAGGGACACACAGCATAGATGGGAAAGGGCTACCCAAGTCCCCACATAGGGTCCTTGCAAACAGGTTCAGCAGTCTAGATGAAACAGACAAATTCTTACAATTATACATCACTCAGGGCTGAATAAAGAAGAAATGGAAAATGGTCAACTAATCTAAGATAAGGAGAACAAAGAAATTCTCTTCAATAAAGAGTGCTGGGAAAATTGAGCTCCTGCCTGCAAAAGGATGAATGTAAACTACTAATTCACACCATACATAAAAATCTACTCAAAATGGGTAAAGGGTGCATGTAAGAACTGAAACTATAAAATATATAGTAGAAAACTTGGGCAAAAACACTCTAAATCATAAACCTCAGCAATACCTTTGAGGATCTTTCTTGAGAAGCAAGACAAACAAAGAAAATAAACAGCTGGAACTACATCAAACTAAAAAGATTCTGTGCAGCAAGAGAAACAGCAAATGTATTTGCATTTCATACAACTGATGAAAGGGACTGATGTCAAAAATCCAGAAGTTTACACAACTCAAAAAACTCAAAGCAAACAATCTGATCCAAAAACACCCAGAAGACCTAAAAAGATACTTCTCAAATGCAAAGGCCAAAAGGCAATGTTCAGTGCACTTTAGTATCAGGAAAATTACATCAAAACCACAATGAGATACCATCACACTTGTGAGAAAGGCCCATATTTAAAAACAAAAGCAGACAAAACCAATGCTGTAAGCATGTGGTGAAAAAGGAACCCTCCTATACTGCTGATGCGAATGCCATCTAGCCACTGTGGAATGTAGCATGGAGTTTCCTCAGGACCCTCAAAATGGAGCTACCATATAACCCAGTGATTCCTCTTCTAGTTTTACAGGGCAACTCAGTATGAATTGGTTTGCTTGTCTGTGGATCCTCACCCACGTACTTCAGATTCAATTGTACTGCGGACTCATGCAAAAAGGTCCATAATAGGTCTATTTACAAAGGAAGGAAAAGGAACAACCCAGGGAAAGAGAGAGAGAAACAAGTTAACTAGAGCATCCTACAAGTTAACTAGAGTTGACCTGGAACTCCAATAGCACACTGAAAGCTCATCAAGAGCCAAACGACCAGCCACCAGCACAAGGCCAAGGGAGAGAGGAACTCAACATGCTCCTCTATATATATATCCCAAAAAAAGTCCCCAAAAGCCTACTTAACCCTGCCATTGGGTCCTTGCTGTTCTCCCCCTTGGTATTGCTGGGATTTGTAGCTTCAGGGACTAGAGTAGGGGGTGGAGTTGTAGTTTCAATAATGGAAGTAAGGGGTGGAGTCCACAAAACTGCAGATTTCCTTCAGGACATTCTTTCCCCCTAACACTAGGAACCTACCCAAAGTACACAAAGTAACTAATTCATCTCAAGCCTGTACTTCTGTGTTTATTTCAGCACTATTTACATAACCAAGATAATTGAAACAACCTAATGTCCCAAAATATATGATTGGATCAAGACAGATGGAGGAGATACACACACACACACATATACACACATGCAATGGAGTACCACTCAGTGATCAAAAAGCAATATGTATGCCATTTGCAGCAACATGGTTGAGCTGGAAGGGATTATACTAAGTGAAATAAGCCAGAAGGAAGCAGGTTAATATCAGATGGTTTTCCTTATAGGTAGAATATAGAGAAACCAAAGAAAGGGTCAGGAAAAAGACAAACCTTGCAAGCAGACCATAGATCTGAGAGCTAGAGCAGGGGAGGGGGAAAAACGGGAGGGAAGAGCACCAGGGATTACAGTGATGGTTCTCAGGTGCTATGGTGGCTTGAGAGCTACAAGGACTACAGCTGAGGGGACAAACCAAACTACAAAAATTAATGATGTTGTAAGAAAAAAAAAATTATATTAGCATCCTTGGCAGCTGTCTTACTGTTGTCTCCTTCTGTATTGAATACACAAAGAAAAGGAAAGCCAGGAAGGTGAAGAATTTTTTACAATTGCAGGCCAGGTCTGACCATGAGGCCTCTGTGTTTTACATTCTGGGAGGCGCCTACTGAAGGCAGGACACCCCACCCTGACCCACTGCACATCTCTACAATGCAGCGCTTCAGGAAGTGGTGGGGCCCTGACTGGGCCCCTGGCCCCCAGGTCAGGCTCTGGGGGTGCACCCATGCACTCCCCTGAGACTGCAGCTGGCACTGCTCTGCTGCCCAACCTGCAGGGGGCAGTGTGTGCGGGAGAGCGCAGCAGACCAGCTGTTGCTGTGTGCTCCAGACACGCAGAAATGACGGATGCTCCCCAGGCAGCCCCGCAGATATATCCGCTACCTGGAGTGATCTGGCAGGTCTGCGTAGCTACAGTGAATTTTCTCTTTTCAGTTTTCTCCATGGTGGCTGTACATTCTCCAGTGGCCTAAAATTTTTTTGAAAAAGACACCATTTATCTTAACCTTTTAGATGGAGAAGTCCAACTAGTACCAGTAATAAATACGATTTCATCTTTAAAAGAAGTAGCTTGTCAAGGTTTTTTCTAACAGAAATCTGAGGCAAAAGAATGTACGAATGATTATTTTTTTTTTTTACCAACCATTGATATTCAAGAGACCTGGAGGAGAGGTAATGTAAATGATGGGCTTTTAAATATGACTCTTTGCTTTGAGGACTGGAAATATTTCTTTTTTTACCAAAATGTACAGAATGCCTTAGAATCAGACTGCTAACTTCTCTTGGTGTACCTTTCAGTTTCAGTGCTGAAACTGCATAGAAGATGCCGGCGTTTCACACTGAGGAGGTGGCTGCAAGGACAGTGATAAGACCAGCTTGTTGCCCATGTGCAGTCTCCCTGAACTGAGGGAGACTGGCCCAGGAGGGAGACTGGTGGTGCCAGGCCCAGGTCAGGCAGTGGTTCAGGTGTACACTGCTCTTAAAACAAAGCCTTTTGCAGGCCATATCTCCTTTGTCCGCCCTGGCCCTATGGGGTCGATGTGAGCTCCCTGTTATAGGGTGCAGCCAGTCCAGAGAGGTCAGCTAGTCAGAGGCAGGGAGTTTTCTGCTCAGGCCTATCAAGGGAAGCTCTCCAGTCTCCTCTCACCAGCCCTTGACCTGCACCTAAGGGCTGTGATATCTCTGGGGCTCGCCACGTGTCCCAGGGGTCAGTAGAGCGGCTTCCCAAGGGGGGCTTTTCTCCACATCTCCATGGGGTGCTGCCCTCTCCATGCCCGTTATGTCTCTGTGACAAGACAGACATCAATCATGGGACCTTTCTGTACATTTAACGGTTCAGAGGCAATCTCAGACTCACAATCGTTTCATCCCCAGCACCAGAAGAGGCTTCTGGCAGCTGGATGCAGAAAACTGGAGGCTTGGAAAAGGCAACACACTTACAGCATCTGCGGATTGCTTGTAGGCACAGTCCTGCCAGGTCTTGCCACTTTGAACAGGACAGTCACCCTCCTTGATTTGGTACTTGAAGGAATAAAATGGATTTATGTAATCCTGAGAAAAGACAAACAAGGATACATAAGTTTCATCCAACCGATGCACAGCAAATCATTTGAGTGTGGTCTGGCGTGGTTATGAATATCTAATATTCATTTGATTCAGTTGGGGCCAACATTTATATACAATGCCAAAAGTTTCGAACATTTACTTGGAAAAATGTTCATAATGTATTTACATATATGTACTCACATATATAAACATGCATTTATATACAGTTATTCAGTCAAAAAAGAACAATTGCCAGGTAAATACATTTATTTTTAAGTTACAGATTGTATCCATAACATTAGGTCATATTTGTAGAAATCAGTTTATATGTAGGTATATGATTTATAAATGTCCAAAAAGTTATGCAAGAAAGAGGATAAATGTCTCTCAGGGGTAGAAACACAGCTGTCTTTCATTTTCTTCTTTAAACAAACATTCCTGAATGGTCAAGCTGTTTTTAAAACAAAAATATATTCGTTTTATAATTAGATGACAAAAAAAATTAAAGGGTGATTTTACACTTTTGAGAAAAATGAATTCTCTTGCTGCAGCCTGACTGTAGCTCCAGGGTTCTCCCATCTGCATGGTCCTTCCAAAGGATTCAGTCACCTGGGAAGGACTTTCCAGTTATCAGTTATTTGCTGCTGTTGCTGCTGCTATTTGTGTGTGTGTGTGTGTGTGCGTGTGTGTGTGTGAAGTTAAAAGGGGAAGGTACCTGGGCTCCAAGTAAAAGCAAATTCCAAAGGCTGTCAGGTTTCACAGCATACTCACCATCTTGGTGATATTACCGACACGGTACAATACAAAGAGGTTGTTTGTTTGGTTTCCACCATTGTAGTTCTTCAGAGCAGCATCTACAGCCATAAGTACATCGTGATCATTGCAGTCAATTTCCTGTGAGGGCTGCTGGCTTAAACTAGATAGCAGCCTGGAGCAGAGGAAAAGGACGGTAATTAATCTCATGATTTAATCTTCTCCTCCTAGGTACTGTGAGATCTTTTCCCAACAATTGGGAGCAACTGTAGATGCAGATTTTAACGGCCTCCAGCCTCTTATTTCCTCTGCTTCCACACTCTGGGGCCCTGGTTGGCTCCCTGCTCTCTCACACAGTTTGCCCTATTCCATTAGGACAAATGACTCTGCTGGGCTCTCCAAGCATTACAACACTGGGGTTGGTGACCTGCTTGTTTGCATTTGGGAAGCCTGTGGGAGCATTGCCCACATTTACACGTAATTACATAAATTTATACAGCAAATCAGAGCAGAATCTAATAGAGGAGCGAGAAAAAATCCTAACCATCCCATGGAACATTCTTATTCTCCGTAAACTCACTTACAAGGTCAGTACATGTGACAACACTATACTGTGCAAATGACTTTCAATACTGTGGTGTCACTGTTTATAATGAAAACCCCAGTATGAAAATACCCAGAAATAGATGAGCAGGTTAAGAAGATGTGATATATAGCCACAAGGAATATTAGTCAGTGATCAAAAGAGAGAAAATCATGCCATTATTGACAACAGAAATGGAGCTGGAAGGAATAATGGTAGGTGAAATAATTTGGAAGGAGAAAGACAAATAATGTAGTTGACTCATAGGTGGAATATAGAGAAACCAAACAAGGTCAGATAAAGCCAAAGTTAACTAACCCTTGAAAGTTGACTCTAGAATCTGGGGGGGGGGGGGGGGGGAGGGGAGAGAGAGGACAGAGTGGGAAGGGGCACTAAGGACTACAGTGGTGTGGATTGTGGGTGGTTTGCAAGGGGGTGCATATAGTAGTCATGCCTGGAGAGACAATCCTACAGTTCCCCAAATATAAACAATGATGGAAACCAACAAGACTTCAATAAACTCTTTCTTATCACCCTGCAGAGAAGCAGGCTGCCAGCAATCACATCGCAAGGACAGGGACACTGTGAGTGCCAGGCAGTCCACACCATGACAGTGGTGCGACTGAAAGTAAAATATGAGTGTCCTGAATGTCCTCTGTCCAAACCAGCCTCTCTCCACTCATTTGCATTAATTCTGAGAAGGGAAATGCTCCCCAGGTTAGGGGGACAGGGGAGAAACAGAAGGATAGGTTGAGTAAATCTCTATCCTTGGGTCTTGTTTCTAGTTTGGTGGATATGAGTGTCTTTCACTCACTGGACCTAAGCAAACTTTTTGATTATACTAGACCATTAGGGGAGAAGGTGTCTAAGGTTGGCTAAAGACATGGGATAAATTGGGCCTCCCTGGTGGTTTAAGTGTTTAAGGCTCAGTGATATCATGATATTGGCAGCCACTGCAGCTGGAGTTCGATCCCCAGCCAGGGAGCTGACCCACATGGTGCGGCAGACCTCTCCAGTGTTGCCTACTGCATCCCCCAGCAGGTTGTTTCAGTTGACTGTTCTTCTCCCCACTCTGTCTATGGTGAAACCTCTGGTCTGCACCCTGGTGCTTGTATGCATAATAATTAAAATAAGCCTAAAAACAAAACAAAACATGGTCTAACCTGCAGTAGATAGTCTTACTATTTCTTCCTTGTTTCCAAGAAAGGATGTGTGAATTATTTGTTGTATATGGAGTCTCTAGCTTAACAATTCTGTCTCCTTGAAAGTCCCTGAAGTCGCCCTCACTAGTGGCGCAGAGGGTTAAAGCACAGCACTAAGAAGCTAAAGCCACTTTCAACATGAGTTCGATCCCTGTCTGCCCCTGAGGTGACCCACATGGCGTGGAACACCTCTCCTGACCTGCCCGCTGCTCCCCTCAGCAGTGTACTTCGATGATCTGCCTGTTCTGGTCCCCACTCTGTCTGTGGTGAATCCTCTCATCACCCCAGCACCTCTGGCCTGTACCCCAGTTCTGAATGCACAAATAAATAAATCTTAAAACAAACAAAAAAAAAGAAAGTCCCTAAAGTCAAAGTGGGGTGAACAGTGTCCATGATACAGAATAGCAAGAACATGAACTTGGTTGCCAGCGCAACCAACATATCGATGAAATGTACAGCCTGAGTTTGTTTTGTTTATAGTTGAATTGAGATTCATTTTTCTAACAAGAGTTTTAGAGGACTAGAAATATCAAGTCGGAGAAACTTAGGGTCATAATTTTAAGAATTTTCTATAAAATGATACTACATTCCACTTTGTGATGTTCAACTACCCTTAAGCACTAGTAGGGGATAGAAGCTAGAATTAAAGAAGTCCAAGAAGAAATTCTGAGGATCAGAGATTGTCTCAGTGGTGATGCTGGCCAGAGACAGAATTAACTTCTGATTTAAAGCACACATTTTCCTATCTTCTCCAACAGTTCACCCTACTCTGAGTATGAAAGTAAAATCAAAATAGATGTGAAATTTTGCATTTGTTACTGGTTTCATCTTATTTATATCTACTTTAGACATTATTCATTTTTTTTTCACATGAAGGAATTGAGATTTTACTTTGGAAATGTGAATGCAAAACACTTAGAAACTTAGGGGAACTCATTCATCAACTACCGTGGACATGATTCAGAGGCTGATTGAGGGAAAGGCTGAACTTCTGGCTTTAGGGCGTTGTTGTGGTTTGGCTTGTGATGATGGGAAAAATCTGCTTCAGCTTTCTTCAGTGGAGGGAGTCAGTAAGCACACCTGATTTGTCTTCTTTGAAAAGGAAAGGCTCCTTCATATGAATCTCTCTCTTCTGAGCACCTAGACAGTGGGTCATGGCCCAGATGATGGTAATCTTGGCTATGGGCTGGTGGGTCACAGTTTGATCATGGAAATGATGGCCATGCAGACAGAGCTGGGGACAGTGCTGAGGCCATGGTCTCTATGGGGACGGAGCTCGTTGGAACTGTGATTATTAAAGGGTCCACAGGTTCCATTACTGCCCTAAATGGGAGTGATGATACCTTGACAGTGAAGGAAGATCTGCCTGGATTCTAGATAGTCTATATCTTAGTGATATAAATACACATAATAAATAGCCATATGTGTATAAGATGCATATTCAAGCATGTAAGCAATAGAGTGAATATTCAAAAAATTTAGAAGCCACTAATGGTGGATCAAGTCAAGATCCCCTATATGGCTGCCATATTCTTACCAAATCTGCTCCTTCCCCTGCTCTGTCCTATTTCCGTACATATTGGGCTTTAACCAGTTTCAGCTGCTACGTCAACCTGAACAGTTTGGTTTTTCTTGTCCCTGGGCCACCTCATGCCTCTCCTGTCTGCACCCTCCCCTCTCCCCTCCCCAACACTGCCTGGCTGGTACTATTCAAGACCCACCTCAAATCCCTTCTCCTTCAGAATGTGTCCCCTATGTTCCTACTGAACAACCTCACCTTTTCCTGGACTATTTTGTGCACAGAGCCTTCTAGATTGAGTTTTGTAGCTATTTGCTGGTGTGTCTCAGATTGTCTGGTCCACTCAAATGATGCACTTATTCTTTAGCCCACACAGGACATGGCCTTGCTTCACAGTCTCAGATAAAATTTCTTCTCAGATAAACACGGTACAAGGACATCACTGTCTTGCCCACCCTCCAGTGGCAGCGTGGAGGCAGGGAGACTCAGCGTCCTCTGCCCACCTCAGGGCCTCAACAGGTGTTATACCAGCCCCTCTGCACTGCACTGAGGATATTTACTCCAGACCCCGAAATGCTCACTCTTCTCTGCCAGTAGGCTGCCATCCCCATAACTGTCTCTATTGCTCTGACACCCTGGAGACTCCCCAACATTCATTCACAGCTTTAGTCTGTCCTCTTCTTTCCCAGGCACCATCATCTCCCCTGCTGATGGCTGCCCACCCACCATCTGAGTGTCTCCCCATGAGTGGACCCCTCTCTGACTCCTCTGATTCTGCACACTCATGTGCGCAGCGTCACACCCTCAGAGAACAATGGTCTCTTTCCTGGATGGCAAAGCTTGCTCTGCCCTTGCTTTTCCCTAACCACCTTTTCATCCACCTCTCACTAATCCTTGGTCGGGTTCACCCTGGTTTTCAGCCTCAGAGCCCGGCAGTCCCTCAGTCTGTACGTGTCGTCTAATCCACTGGGCTCTCCTGGTTTCACTTCCTTGTCTGTGAGCCCCAACCCCATAGTGAGTCATTCCACTGCTACTCTATCAGTAGCTTCTGTGAGGATTGGCCTATTTTCTTCATCACATGCATTTCTAGAGCCCATATCCATAACTTCCCAAACCCATCCCCAGTCTTTGTATTGACTCGCAACAAGAAATTGCTAGTTTCTGTATTAAGTGAATGTCCTCAGCTAAAAATACCCGCCAGTGTCTCCTAATTTCCTCTCTTCTTCAGTTTAGCTTTCTCTTGCTCAGCCTGCAACCCCCTTATCTCCCCTCATAATTGTCATGTTCACAGTATCCTTTCTATCTGATCCACAGCCTCCCCTTTCCACTGACCACAAAGACTAGAAGGTCCTCCCACCCTAAAGAGGCACTTTCCCTTTGACCTGCCTCCCTCTCAAGCCACTTCCCGCAGGCCATCTTTTCCTTTGATCATCAAAGCTCCTTTAAAAAAAAAAAAAGCTTCTCTTAAAATTTTAAAAAATGGGGCCCTCCCTGGTGGCGCAGCAGGTTAAAGCACAGCACTAAGAAGTTTAAGTCACTTCCGCATGAATTCGATCCCCGCCTGCCCCGGAGGAGATCCACATGGCACGGCAGACCTCTCCTGCCCTGCCTGCTGCTCCCCTCAGCAGTGTGCTTCATTGATCGATCTGCCTGTTCTGCTCCCCACTCTGTGTCTGGTGAATCCTCTCACCACACCTGCCGCTCTGGTCGTTCCCCCAGTTCTGTATGAATAAAATAAATAAATCTTCAAAAAAAAAAAAACAAAGAAGCAAACAGGGAATGCATTAGCGTGGGGGGGGGGGGTTGGGGGGGGGACACATAACCAGCTGGCACACACCTTTGCTGGGAAATCAAGGAGAGTCAAGAGATGCCTCAGTGTGTTTACTAATCCAAATATAACATCTGTTGCCGGTTTCAGCATGAATAGATCCTCATCCCAGGACTTTTGCCTTGAGTGGATCCTTATCTCAGACTTTCCCTGTTTGTACTCTGGGTTAGAGGCACAGACTAGTCAAAGCACAGAATAATCAGGCAAAGACACAAAGTAGTTGAAGCATGGAATAATCCCAGCATATTTGCTGCTGTTGTCTACATCCTGTTGGCTTCCATTTTTCTATGCCTATCTCCTCCAGTCATCCCTAAATGTTAGACTCCCTGGGTTTCCATTGTGACTTTTCTCACAGATTCCATGACTTCAATCCTCTAAGAGATTTTATCCTATACATTTTCTTTTTTCTGCTGTACTTTTAATAGCCTCTTCTTATTTTATTTTAAAAAAAGATTTACTTTTATTTATGCATACTGAACTGGGGTACAGGCCAGAGGTCCAGTGAGAAGATTCACCAGAGACACAGTGGGGAGCAGAACTGGCAGATCGACAAAGTACACTGCCGAGGGGAGCAGCGGGCGGGTCAGGAGAGGTCTGCCGTGCCATGTGTATCACCTCCAGGCTGGAAATCGAAGTCACACTGAAGCAGCCACAGCCAGCTTCACAGTGCTATGCTCCAACCTGCTGTGCCACCAAGGGGGGTCAGATAGCCCCTTCTTTAAGCCCACAGCATATAAATGTACTCAGTTCTCTTTCATTTCTTTAAATGCCTTTCATGAACCCCAGGGAAGTGTTACGAGGGAGCACCCACCTCTGAGGCCAGGCCAGCCCTGAAAAGGGTGACACAAATTTTTCCCTACAGCCATGGCCTCTGATGAAAGCCCCCCTGAGGAGAGGGGCACTTGATTGAACAGGAACTAGATGAAAACATGGGGGCGAACAGTGGCTTTGCTCTGCAGTTAATGGATAATAGCACTGAGCTAACAAGATCCATGATGAAGGAGAACAGCAAACACCACCCCTCACTGAGAAAACAACAGATTTGGGGTTTTGAGTTCAACCCTTGTTTAGCTACGTGATTTCAGACTTGTCATCTAATTTCTCAGGAAGTGGATTGTGTCATCTAAAGTTGCCAAAGCCAACTGAAAATACATAGATCTATAAGTCTACGATTCTGTAAGATATAACCATACACAACATGTATAAGGATATCTAATGGAAAGGGAGGCAAATAGAAACAATTCTATCCTCTTAAACACTCCACTTTCATCAACCCTCAGAGGGAGATTTACTCATTCTTATTTTAAGGATAAGGAAACTAGTTCTAGAAAATTTACTGGAACAATATCTTAAACTTGCAAGCAACTTTCTGCACAAAACTAAGAACTGTCTCCCTCTTCCCACCACTTCCTTGTTCTAGAGTCTGGCTCCCTGGAAGGTGCAGTGTCTGCCCAGGTCCAGAAGAGGCCAATGACAGTGATGGTGCAAAGTCAGAAAGCTGCTGGGTCCTGGGCAAACCAGCAGCCAGAGGCTCGTGGAGGAATTACTACACGGCCTGGGTATGGGCAACTTCCAGCCTGATAGCTGCTCCATGATGACAACAATAATGCAAGGTACCTTTGGAAAGTATTACCACTAAAATGCAGATTCTGAAACTCGGCTCAGGAGCCCCGAGAACCTGCAGAGAGATTTCTCTGGGCTCTCTGCCACAGCAGCGCTCAGCAGTGAGCTGAGGTGGTCCAGCCAATCAGGGAAGCACCTAGAGATGCACCAAGAAGAGTCTCTGCCCTGGTCTCTCAGACAAACACCTGCACCATGATTTTGCAACTTTTGTCGGCCTTCTTATGGAAAGTCTGTGAAAGGTATAACAGAACTGGGATGGCGAGTGCATGCCATCTAAGAGGGGTTATGCCCAAAGCCAGTTGCAGGGGTCCTGGGTTTTCATTTAGTAGGTTTATTCCTTATCAGAGACTGCCCCAGTTCCATCAATGTGCAGTGAACAGAAGTTAGCCAGATGGGACTGACTACATGGCATTTCTTGCAAAGTGATGCTTCATTATGAGTTCAAGCTCCACCTTTATAATCCTTAATACCCACAGATACAGCAATCCAAACTTGTATTTTCAATTTATTGGGTAGATTAGAAAACAGTATTTCTTGCTGAGTATGTGATTATAATATATATTGTGTAGAGTCTTTAAACATATTATTTAAACAATTATATTAATTTTGTATTCATGGCTAATAATAGATAAATTGTGGAGAAATACTTTGAGATGAAATAGATAACCTATTACATATAAAATTGTCCCTTAATTATTTTAACATAAATCAGTGAGAGTTGCCTGAATCAGTTACTACAATGAAAGCAATAATGTTTATTTTCTAAATCTATCGTGCATTTGACATTTATGATTGTCATTTTGTTGTCAGGTATGTCTCTTTATATAAAATATCTTTTTAAAACATAAGCATTTATCTGTAAAAATTTCCCTCTGAGCAAAATTTCTGTTGTACCTACAAATTGTGTTTTGTTTCTAATATTTCAAAGGATTTTTCTAATGTTCTTTGTGATTTCTTCTTTGAGAATTTGGTTACCTAACAGTGTTTTAAAATTTTCAGTTTTGGTGAAATTCCCAAGTCCCTTCCTGCCTTTTATTAACTTCTAATATCATTCTTCTGCCTCTCTTTATGACTTGAGAATCCATTACTTTATAGCACTGAATAATGTTCCATTCTCTGTACAAAAGTTTCTTTATTGAACTACTGAACAACAAGTTTCAGCAATTATTAGTTCATGTAAACATTTCTATGCAGTTTATTTGGACATTACTTTTTCATCATTTGGGTAAACAACAAGGAACATGACTCCTGTGTCTCATGGTAACAGTGTGTTTAGTATTGTAACGACTTGCCAAACATCTTCCAATGTGACTGTACCATTCTATTCCCAACAGTATTGAGTGGACATTCCTGTTGCTCCTTATTGTCACCAGCCTTAGGTACTGTCACTGGATTTTGCACATTCTATAAAGTACATAGTGTATCTCATTGTTGTTTTAACCTTTCATTCATTCTAATGACATGTCGAGCATGTTTTCATATGCTTATTTAACTATTAAATATAATTTTTATGGAGATATCTTCTCCAAGGGCCAAGGAAATCAGATGACGAAGGGAGGGAGGGACAGGTCAGAGTGTTTACTCCCTGCTTCTGCTTTCACCAGCACCTGGCAATGGCGGCCTCCCTCCACTAGGGGTCCCTGTCCACAGCGCCAGCTCCCTGGGTTGGGTGAGACCACTCCTCCCACTGCCTTGGGAGGCCTGGGGTGGAAAAGGCTCCCTGGGGCTGCTCTCCAGCAGCTGCCCCCCAACCCTGCAGGTCCCTTCACTGGGCCCACAGCCTTCTCTGAAGTCCTTCCATCAAAGCGTCTTGAGTTGAGACACAGGAGTACAACTGTGACCCTGCCAGACTCCAAAAAGGTTTTGAGACAGCATATGACACCCCCACAAAATCATTTCTCCATCTTACAGGAATCAGGTAAGAGCAACATGTGCCTATCGTCTACTGCTCTCAAGCAAATGATGCCACAGCCCATTGGTCTCTTTTAGATAGCAGCTGCCAGGATGGAAGACAGTGATTCCACCTGCAAATTCTTCATCAAAACATCAGTATTTTTATAGTGGTGTGTGTGTGTGTGTGTGTGTGCCTGTGCATGCATGTGTGCATGCTCATGCGTGTGCATGGTAGAATTCCTCCTGCAGTTTGTAAATATATGGAAAGATTATGATTGAATGTTACGATGGGCCCTTTAATACTTGTCATCAGAGAAATTTTCAGTGCTAAAAACTGTTGTGGGCTGGTATTCCAGGTGCTTAACACAGCCCAAATATCTTTCTCTTCTAGGGAAGCCCCAATATGAGTCACCCCAACTTTGAGATCTACCCATTTCCAGGCAGAGGAGAAGTGGCTACGGTGGGAAATGGCACAGGGCATACTCAGTCAGGGACCCTGGGCATGAAAGGGATGCAGAGAGACTGCAGCCCCCTGCTGGGTCTCCCGTCCTTGTACGAGGTGGTGTAGGGAAAGATTCTTATTGATGAAATGTCATCATAGAAAGAGTTAAGCATGTTCATAGATGAAAGGGTAAAAGTACCAGTGAGAGACAGACAAGACAGCCATCTCCCCATGGCCCAGGCCTTGGAGGTTTAGGAGGCGGCCCAGGCACAGTGGACAACTGACTGCGTTGTTTCTACATCCAGCCAACACGCCAGACCAAGAAGATCAAAGAGATATTTATTATCAACTTTCTACATCTGATTTGTCTCTTTCCCCTTTTCCCACCACCTCTCATCTCCGTTGACCACCAGATGACCACAGGGTCCTCGATGTGGTTCTCATGGAGGAAGAACAAGAGGGTTGGGCTCCTTGGCTGGTCCTGGGCACTCAGCTGAGCGATGTTCTTTGGAGGGGAAAGGCAGCACCATCATGGTCTCCCTCCAAGGCACACTGAAGAGGAAGGAGATATCCAGGTCCTCTCCCTGGGGATTCGTGGTTAGATCCAGATGCACAGGGAAGGATTCCCGGGAACTTTGGGACTTGTCATCATCTAGGTCAGGGAGGTATTGGACAGATCCTTTTGGCCCAGTTGTGGCTATGGGTGGAGCATAAGTGGGTCCTGCCTTTTTCTGCTGGGAATCTTCCACCTTGGGCAGGTGTGCAGAGCCTTGGTCAACAGCAGAATTTTCATCACCAAAAGCAGGACCCTGAAATAAGAATACTTTCAAATAAAAGGCTGCCTGCCCCCCCCTACACCCCCTTGAAATCCCTGCCAGGTATTCAGGCTAAAGTGTTCTACGTCTTTCTGATGGAATGTTTCAAAGGGAGACCAGATTTAGGGATGGGTCTTCTGGTTAAAGGGCTAAAACAAGACCAATAAGGACCTGGTGAACCGAGACCTGTAGAAGCTTGATGGCAAATTGTGCAAACTCAGACTTCAAATGATGCGGTGAGGTCTAATGACTTGTTCAGTCCCCAGTGAACTGCCCCCTCTTCCCAGCAGAGGTAGCAACAGCCACTTCTTGTTAATGGCCAAGTACAGCCCCTTCTGTTCAGATCCCAGTCAGTTTTTACAGTGATCTGGATGAAGGTGTTGTTGCAACCCCCCTGACAGGTGGGATAACCAGGGCTCAGAGATGCTCGTGCATCCTGGTCACACAGCTTGTAGCTGGCGGCAGGACTGAAACCCAGGAGCCCGATCTCTGCCATCTATACCCTACTAGGTTGCTTCACAGTATGTGATAAACACATACTTCTAGGAAGAGAATGACCTTTTGTTCTGCATAACTGGGATTGGGACATGTTATTTAATATCAGAGGCCTGAGTCAAACTAGCTTGTAGACTCCTAGCTCTGAAGGAACACAACTTATTTTTCAAGACAACACTATTTCTGAAACAGTGTTGAGTTTTGAAACAGCTTCACACATTTTTCACCAACTATCTTGTGGGTGTGGCATTAGGACATCATGAGTAAAGTGGTTCTAGGCTCTAGGCCATTAAAAGGGGCAATTAAAATAAAGAAAAGTCTGCAGTGTCCTTTACGGAAGACAACCGATCAAAATTTTTAATTACCTGTGATTCAAAGAAGTTACAAGTCACAGAGACAAAAGTTTTTATTCTATTTCGGCTCAGTGAACCTTTGCAAAGACCAACAGGCTGGAAAAAAAAGGAAAAAATATGATGCATTGTGAATAGAATTATAATGATCATAAAGCTAATCAGTTGGCTTTCTACTTATATAGATACACAACAATCAATATTTTATAGCCCTCCTAGGTGACAGGCAGACTTGTGCCTACATCCTCTAGATCTTAATCACAGATTTTAGGGTAAATTTCCTCCAGTGGTAGGAAACTCAGGATTTCTTGAGTAATGATCTGATCATTAGAAAATTCTTTGAAATGAGTGGAAATCTATACTAATGCAATTCCTACCTGCTGACCTTAGCCCTACAAGTGCAAGTTATGTAAAATGCCTTTGTACTCTTTTCTCCAATCTTCCTGGAACTTGGAAGAGCAAAGGTAAGCAAAAGATGTAGGGGGGTAGAAAGAGTGAAAGAACTGTCCTTGATCCCTTCTCACATGAGGCCTTAACTCTAAATCAGGCTTGTGGTGCAGAGAAAAGCTTTGAATTGGAAATGAGTGGGGTTTTGATTCAATATTGACTGAACATGAAGTACCTGAAAAGTAACCTAAGTGAAATCAGTCTTACTGAAAATAACCAGAAACCCCAAGACATTTATTGTCAGGAGAGAAAGAGATTCTGAAGAATATGGTGAAGATGTTTTCCCAATTTATTCTTAAATAAATTGAGAATATTCAACTGACTGTTTACAGGGGACTTTCGAAAAACATTGTGAATTCAAGGGCACACATAGATGGAAAGTTAAAAAGGAAAATATTTACAATGCAAATAGTAATCCAAAGAGCGAGAATGGCTATACAAATAGCAGACAAAATTTTCCTCAGACAAAACTGTAACTAAAACTAATAAAAAAAAAAAAGCACATTTCACATGATAAAAGTGTCAATTCAGTAGGTTGATATGGCAGCTATAAATGCATGTACAGATAGCAACACAGTCTAATATACACATATAAAAACTAATAGAACTCAAGGGACTGAAAACAGTTCAAAAATTATTAGAAAACTCACTTTCCATTATTGATAAAATAAGTACCCGGAACACCAACAAGGAAAAAGAAGTATGAACAGCACTATGAAAGTGAACTAACCCTAAGAGACAATCACAGGATACCCCACCTACTTAGAGCAGAGTGCATTTTCCAAAACTGTATGTGGAACATTCTCTGGGTTATATCTTATATCAAAGCCTAAAACAAGCCCCAATAAAATTAAGATATCTGAGACTGCAAAATATACCCTCCAACCACAATGCAATGATATTAGGAATAAATGACAGAAGATCTGGAAAATCTGACTAAGACCAAAAAGAGATGAATTATCAAAATACACACACACAAAGAAAGACCCAGGTACAGATAGCTTCACTAGTGAATTCTACTATATTTTAAAGATAAACATCAGGCCTTCATAAACTTTCTCAAAAGAATAGGAGAGAGGGGAAATTTCTCATTATTCTATGAGGCTTCTATCAAACACTTACAGAAATCTTGCAGAGTCAACACAAGAAAACTAGTGTTAATATTTCCACTGAATATATATATATGAGAAATCATTTTTTAATTACTGGACAATTGCTTTCAGCCACATTTAAGATAATTATACACCATGATCAATTGGAGTTCATTCCCAAAGTTCAAGATTTTAACAACAATCAATAAGATGTTGTAAATCTATAAATTAATTTTCTGGCTTTAGAAATTAGAAAAAGAAGAACAAACTAATCCTAAGAAGAAAAATCACAGGATTTTTTCATGTAAACAGAAAAGAATTTGACAAAATCTGATAAGATATGAATAGAATACATTATGAATAGAAAGAATTTTCTCCACCTAAAAAAAAGGTGACATATGTAAAACCTATGACTAACATCACACTAAAAGAAATACTGAATGTCTTTTCCCTAAAATCAAGAATTAGATAAGGAGGTTCACTCTCCCCCACTTCTACCCAACATTGTACTAGAAGTTCTAGTCAGAGAAATTAGAAATACAGAAGTTCTAGTCAGAGAAATTAGAATTTACAAAAACAGGCAGATTGGAAAACAAACAAAAAATTCTATTTGCAGATGACATATTTCTGCACGGGAAATCCTGATGAATCCACTAGAAAGCTATTAGAGCTAATAAACAAATTCATCAAAATTAAAAGAAACAAGTTCAATATAAAAAAATGTGTATTTCTACACATTTGCAATAAAGAAACCAGAAATGAATTTTAAAAGTTATTTCCATTACATTAGTATCAAAGAAAAGAAAAGAAAATATCCAACATGAAAAGTTTGTTCAAGGAAAAGAAATTGCTGGACACACAACTGAAAGAAACCAAGTCCCACATTCATGGATTAGGAAGATTTAATGATGATACTAATTCCCACATTGATCTACAGATTTGATATGCTCCTATGAAATTTCCAACTGCCTATTAAGAAAGAAACTGCTAAGCTGAATCCAAATTAGGAAAACACAAGGGACACAAAATGCCCCCAAATAATCTTGATGAAGACCAAAATAAGAGAACTTTTGATGCATTTTGCCTACTGTGCTGCAACAGCAGTAATCCCGACATCCCCCCAGGTGTTTCCTGTCCAAGGCTTCCTCCCCACAGGGGATGCTTTCTGTCAGTGAAGACTTGCTCCTTCTGAAGGAGTAGTCCAGGGAGAGGAACACCAAGAAGGATTCCAAATAGAACTGGATATGTGCAGGTAAGGGCAGCCATTGAGGAGATTCATCTGCATGTTACAGGCTTCTGTGACAGTTGGTCTTTTGCTGTGGGATTCACTTGTAACCAAATAAAAGCTTATCAGGGTAGGTGGGCCAACACAATTGCTAGTCTTTTTTCTTTCTTTTTTTTTTTTTGTAGGGGAGAGTGTGAACGCAATCCCCCACTACCACAAATTATGCAGGGGTCAGAAAACCAGAGTACAATGGATAAGCCTCGCCCTGGGAAAAATACCTTTGTGATTATATTATCTCCCCTGCTAGGTAAGCAGCAGAACCTCTATTAGTCAATTCATCCTGAGGTGAACAAAAGCATCTCATACATTATAAAACTTCATGTGAGTACAGAATTTAAAAAATATGCTCAATACATAGTTTTCACCTGTGAACGCTAATCTTAAATTCTGAAGAAACTCAGATACTCACCTCTGAGGCAGGAGACTGAAATATGCAGCTGAACTGGAATTTGGTACAACGTGCCTCTTTGATTAAATATTCCACAAAGTATGAAGGCCCAAACGCCCACTGGTTGAGACAATAGTTGAGAAATGTAAATAAGACTTTCCATGTGGGGAAATTATGATTTGAAACTGTACACCCCCAAGTTGTGGCTAGCCCAGGTATCTCAGTATCCCTGAAACTCCATCACCTTCAAAGCCTACGAATGGGTTCTAAAAGCCTTCACTTGAGTGTCCTCATTTCTCCTTAGGTAAATTAGTTTTAAGATGAGTTTTTCTCACTTTGGTAAATAGCAACATAATACCAACACAATTGAGCCTTCATTGCCCTCAGCACCCTCTCCCAAGCCTAACAGGCCCAGAAGCTGACTTGCTAAATGGCCGATGGTCACTCAGATCTGAAATGTAGCAATAAACAGTGACCCCAAGTAGAGAAACCCAGAGACTGGGAGTTAATTTCCCTCCTTGCCTTAAGGCCAAATTTGACATGGGGGTGTTCATTCTCACCTGGCTAGAAGCCCTGGTGACTTTGACCAGAGAATATTGCTTCAAGGTGCTCTCACGGTTGTATTTTGCAAGAGACTCAGTGGCGGCTTCCAAAACCTTGGGATCTGATACGTCAATGGGGCTGGGGCATTCGGGGCAGAGTTGTTGAATCCTTCTTCGAGAAACTGTTGATGTCAAAGAGAGCACTTGAGACAAAAAGTTCCTTCCTAATTTTTAATCATACATTTATATGACCACAACAGATGCAGAGATCGTAAATAAAAAAGGAAAAATGCTGTGTTTCATCAAGGATAGAGTGGAAAAGATACTTTCTGAATAGAAAACTGTCAGCACTGGGTTGTGCTGTAAGAGTATATCACCTCATAATTACAGAAAAATAAAGAGCATGTTCTTTTCCTCCTTGCACATACTTATGTATGAGATAAAATTTTGCTTAAAGCACATGATATAGGGCCCTCACTGGTGACACAACAGGTTAAAACACAGCACTATGAAGCTATTGCAGCCACTGCAGCATGAATTCTACCCCCAACCAGGATGGTGACACACATGGTGTGGCAGACCTCTCCTGTCTCCACCTGATGCTTCTACCAGTATTTCAGTACATCTGCCTGTTCTACTTCCCACTCTGTCTCTGGTGAAGCTTCTCATCCCCCAGTTCTGGCCCGTACCCCAGCTCTATATGTATAAATAAGTAAATCTTAAACAAATACATGATATACGTGTTTATATTCATATAAAGACTCTTTTTTAATTATTTCAATATCTTTTAGAAGTATTACCTCTATAAGGGAGTCTGGGTATCTTAAAAGGTTGAGATTTCATTGTAACATCATGGCTTTTTACCTTCTAGTCCCTCACATCTAACATAGTATCTGATGCATGGTAATGCTTAGCAAATATTTGATGAATGAATGAATGAACAACCTAGCCAACAGAGAAGGTGGGAGCACAGAAGGTGTTTGGTTAGAAAATGCAAATTAAGTCAGAAAACAAAAGTTGATTAAGTCACTGTGAAGCAGGTAGGGGTGGCAAATCTAGTGAGAAAGCTGATCAGGAGACTTGACTGAAGTTCATTTTTGGGAATAAACATAGCTCAAGCAACTTTTTTTTTAAACAATTGTTTTAGTTATGTGTGATTATGGGTGGGAATTTGGGAATTGATGGAGATTATAGAGGTGTTACTACCAGCTTATCATTCTTGGCACTATTCCAAGGATTACTTCTGACCCCCCCTATACCAACATTTCACTTCACTTGGCCTGATTAATTATTCTCCCATTTATATTAGACAAGTCCCATTCTTATACCCAGGTAGCTTAAACAGTGTTAAAAATATATTTGCTCTGTTGCTTTGTCCCTCCAAGAAACCACCACATTTCCTGTTAAACCACCTGCAGCATGTTAAAAACATGGACTCTCGGGCTCTCCCTGGTGGTGCAACGGGTTAGGACGCAGCACTTTGAGTGAACAGTGGGAGTTCGCTCTGCCACCCCAGAGGTGATCCACATGGCACCGCAGACCTTTCCTGACCCACCCGGCTGCTCCCCTCAGCAGTGTAATTAATTGATCTGCCTGTTCTGCTTCCCACTATGACTCTGATGAATTCTCTCACCACCCCTGCACCTCTGGCCTGTACCCCAGTTCTGTATATATAAATAAATAAATCTTAAAAAAAGAAAGAAACTCAGCTAACATTAAAAAAGAAAAAAAAAATACATGGACTCTCCGTTCCCACCTCAGGAATCAGAATCTGCACTTGAACAAGACTGATCGGGGAATCACATGCATATAACACTGGATGAGTGAGCAGTCTCGCCCCATTTCCCAGGTCCTGGAGGCTGCTTTCCCAAGCAGGACCCAGAATGCCAGCATGTATTATTTTAAAAGCATGAGATTCCATCTCATCTTAGGACATCTGTTCATTTTTTAGAACTCATAGTGAACTTCCTACATATGACAGGAATAAAGGAGGGTTGTAGCAGGCAGCAAGAAGAGATGAAATGTTTCCATGATAGAAGACTGAAGACCCCCAATCAAGGGAGAGCATGGTGTGAGTTCTAGGAGTGGTCAGGTTAAAGGTTAACAGGGATGTAGAGAGGAGAACACCTGTCATTTCCGGAATAAAGAACATTGTGGAAGGAGCTGCTGTGTCAGTGTTCCCCACAGACGTACATGTGTTCCGTGACAGAGACTATCGGGGAGGCTCCCCTCAGCAGGGTCACGTGAGCAAGGGGCACAGGCTGGAAGCCATAAGGTGTGTTCAGAAAACAGGGAGGCACCCAGCTGTGTGGAGTGCAGAGCGGTGGGGTCGGAGAGAATCTCTGCACACATGGCGAGAAAGGCCAGCTGGGCATCTGATGTAGAAATTAGGACGTTTGTAACAGACCAGGAGTTAGGATTTCATGCAGTCCCAATGCTGAGTAATTATTATCGCAGGTGACATGTGGAGGTGGGAAGTGCCAGTGCTGGATATAGTGGGAACGTGGATAGTAAGGAAAGGAAAAATCTTAGGCATGTGGGCACTGACCTCTTAAAATGCTTTTTGTCCATATTTTAATAAAATGAACAAAATCAAATTGATCTCTTACCTGGGCGAAGAGTACAGTTATAAGAAAGTGTATAGAGAATTCTTGCTGTCCTGTGTATATAAAGCAATGATTTGCATTGACCATAAACCTGGAACAAACACAAGCATTTTATAACATGGAAGAAGAATCTAAGACTAAAAAGAAAAAACACACACACACACACACACACCAAATTGAACATTTTAAATGCTGAAAAGCTGAAGGACTATTCCGGTGGCTCTGACTGTGGAAACCCACCAGCTGATTATCAAGCAGTTTAACCTACTTCTGGGACACAGCCAGACTACATCCCCCAGAGTCCTTGCTGGTCCCGTGTGCCTGGGCACAGCTGGGTGCTGACACAGGAAGGTGAGCGGAAGGGATGTAACCACTTCCAGGTCTGCCCATGAAGGCCTCCCCTGAGCCCTCTGCCCTCCTGCGGTTCTTGCCATAGCCGAGGCAGATGTGCTGGTGACCACTGAGCTGGGGTAGGAGGTGACAGTCACAGCCAGAAACCACACCCCAAAACTCCTAATAACCCTTGGAGGAAAACACTTATTTTTCAGATATTTATAGTTGGAACTTTACATAAATAAGAAACAAGCTTTTGTCATGTCAGAATCAGTATATACTTGTAATTCTAATATTTTCACAGCTAGTGTCTCCTTTAAAAGAATAAAATTTCAGCAGGGTAAGTAGATTATTTGCTTATCCAAATCAGGTAGGTACAGCTTGACAAATAAGAGTAAATGATTAGAAAAGTTATCTTGATCCAGTAGCTTCGTTCTTAACATGATCCTGCACTCATGTTTTGAACATTCTGTTGAGAAATGGAAATAACATCTGCATAATGAGAATACTGAAAAGTAACTTTTATTTTTAAGCCTCTCCCATGGCCATCATTAAAAGGATTCATTCTAAGTCCTTTTAGTTTTTTGATTCCAGGAAATCTTCCCCTGACACATTTTTAGAGTTGCCACAATATAAGTTTCCACTCCCCTGCAGCAGGCTTCATCAGTGTTCATGATAAAATTTAAAAAATATATAAAAGCTTTCCCTCCATCACTTTCACAGTTTTCCTTAAACACATAATTTTAAGGATCTTTATCTCACTAGTTAATCATTGGCTTAGTAGCTACAAGAGTCCTGGCAGTAGAAAATAATTGGGGCATTTTTTCAATTCTGGATATCATGATCCCAAGAACGCACTGAAACTCCTCAGAAAATGAGTTAAACTCTATGTTGTTTATAGAGCTGGAATGAGCAAACACAGTGTCCAGGAGATTATAAAGAGCAGTGTTTAAAAGCTGATTACCCTGAACACCCTTCACCCCATACAGAGGGCCCCTCTTGCCTTCCCCGGAGCCCCTGGACACAAGCACTTACTGATTCATGCAGTAGTCTCCCCTCACATTTCTTCCACGGCTTCTTGCTGAGCACGTGACAGCCAGTCTCTAGCACATCCAGGGTGAAATAGTACGTAGAGATCTTTGCACCCTGTGGGCAGGGGCAAGAAAGGAACCACATCTCCAGTGAGCAGCAACCCAGACGCACTGGCCCCTAAAGCCTCTGTTTATAGCAGAGTCAAGGCTAGATGCTTGTCAAAATCTAGTGGGAACCAGGTGTTAGGGTGGGGGCGGGGAGCCGGTGGGGAGCACGGACCCAGGAAGCTGGCAACCCTCCCAGCCCTCAGGAAATCTTTTCTCTTTCTCTGCTCTCTTTGGTGTTCTGGTTTCGCCTCCCCTGAAATCACACTCCTCAGCCTCTGTGTGACTCTGCCTTTATATCCCTGCCTCTACACTCTTGCACCTGCCCACATCCATTTCCAGGTGTTCAACCTCAGGCACAGGTGCCCTGCGTCCAAGCTACCAAACACCTTGTGCATTAGCACAATCAGGGGCTCAGATAATAGCCACAAAGCCTAGTGTAAAAGCCCAATTAGTACATTTACCCTATGTAAGATTTCTCATCAAGCCTGGGATACTGGACAAGGGTTACAGTTAACTTTGTTTCTAGTGACAATGAGAGCTTTGCGGGCACCCTGGCCGAGGAGAGCAGAGCTTGTCAGCAGCTTCCAGTACAGAAAGCACCAGCAAGCTGAGTCCCTGGTGCCCAGCCCTAGCCAGCCCAGCTAGCACATGCAGGGGTAAAGGGAGGAGGGAGTAAGGGTATGGGGGGCACCCGGGGGAGGGGGCACCACCACTTGCCTCCCTGTATTCACGGACATCGCTCGCTCGGTTGAGACTCAGCACGTAGCCATCCTTGCGGTCCTTGTTGATGTGCTCCAAGGTGATATCAGCAAACGACAGCACATATGAGTTATTGCAGTCATGGGAGAGTAAATGTGATGGGTTGAGGACTTGCTGGGGTGAAGATGTAGCCCCAGAGCCCACAGCCAGGGCACAGAGCACCAGGGGCAGGAGCAGACCCATCCTGTGGGGAGCAAGCACAGGATGTGGCAGTACAGATTCCAAGGCAAAGCTATTCATAGGCTTTCAAAAAACAAACAGTTTTATAGTTACAATCTGAACTGGTGAACAGGATATGAATTTTTTAAAGGGTTTTCTTTTTTTTTTTTTAAGATTTATTTATTTTATTCATACAGAACTGGGGTACAAGCCAGAGGCGCAGAGGAGGTGAGAGGTTTCACCAGAGACAGAGTGGGGAGCAGAAGAGGCAGATCAACGAAGTACACTGCTGAGGGGAGCAGTGGGCGAGACAGGAGAGGTCTGACAGGAGAGGTCTGCCATGCCATATGGATCGCCTCTGGGACTGAACTCCCATTGAAGCAGCTGCAGCCACCAGGGAGGGCCCAGGGCATGAATTTTTAATTTTATATATCCGAGTCGGTACCATGGATGGCATTTGCCCATATTTTTAATTTGAAAGCACCCCATTTCTTCTACATAATCTAGTCATGTATATTTCAGTTTCCCAATTGTTGACCATGAAATCACAGTAAATCAAAGTGAAGACCAAGTCTCCTTCTTGGTCATGATTGGATTCTGCTTTTGTCCAGGGTTCCATCTGATTCAGAATGTGCAGGTTCTCACACCCTTGTCTCCTAGCCACTCTCTCCAGCTACTCTCCTCAGCCATACTCAGACTTATCTCAGGCTTGGGGCTGGGGGGGGGAGGGCCAGGGCCAGTGGTGACAAGTGTGTTCAGACTTCCTGAGCAAAGAGTCTAAATGGAGGGAAGCTTCTAGATTGAAACATCACACAAGATGTAGTCCATGGATCAGTTTCCCGCCCTTCCCTTCCACCCTCCCCCCACCCCTTCCCCAGGGGTATTTGCTCAGATGAGTGTAGGCCCTGCTGCACCCCTAGAATCAGGGTCTAGGAGGGCCTCACAATCATTAGCATGTTAAGGCATCACCCCGGATGCCTTGAGGGGACAAACCTATTTCAGGCCACAATTGCCTACACTTAATTGACCATAAAAAAAGTTTCCCCAAACATGGTTTTGGAACTGCTGTAACAGCAGTTACATAAGGCTCGCTCTCAGTGTTTTTTTTTTGTTTGTTTTTGTTTTATAATAAACTAATCAAAAGGAAATTTTTGACTGAAAGTGACATGAATTGAAAGAAATGAACCTCTGGATTGGCCCCCAAATCCATAGCTTGGTAAGGGGTGTTTGATAACAGTAGTCTAAACATAATCCAAGTACTTCATCTTAACTGTTGATTCAAAACTTTAAGTTCACTATAAACTTAAATATAAATGATTTATGCTACTAGTTTCTAGTAGTAACAACTATTGTGATGAAATTTAAATTTTTATTTAAAAGATAAGTGGAAAAAACCTGTTTTCTCATCTGATATATCTGCTCCAGGAAATCTCAGCCATGGAATTGTAAATTATTTGTGATAGCTGACTTAGTTAGCAAATTACCCTTAAGTGAATTTAGTGAATCCACCTCGCCCATTTCCCAGGTGAGAAAACTGAGGAAGTGGAGTGCACCAGCAAAGATCACGACTGGGTTAGTTACAGGTCTAGTAACTAGTCTCTGCTAGTCTCTGTTGAAGTAGATCTAAACACCTCTACCAGGTCTGCAGTCACCTGGAGACACACAGGGGAGCAGTGTCCTCTGATCTATCTTCAAGGTCAGAGAAACTTCCCTACCTGGAATAGGAGCTATTTGATGAGCAAAGGACAGAGGCAAGAGTTTATAAACCCAGATGTGGCATCTACCTACAGATGAGGGTTGCTCAGCAAATGTTCTCCACTCCAGTTGCCTAAAAAACAAGCCTCTTCATTCTGCTTCATGTATGCACTGTCCTATGACTTATCAATAAACTTCATCCAGATTCACATTTCTTTGCTTCTACCCACTCTTTTTGTCAACAAAATTTAACTGCTTTGTGCTCCATTCAGGTCCCCCAAATATATAATCTTATTTCCTCTCTTAATCGGGGGGGAGGGCGGTATATTTAAGTTTATCTTCTACCTTCTTGCCAATTAATTTACAATAGACTTTCAATTTCTTTTCCAAAGCCAGTGTCACGGTATCAGTTTCTGTGCATGCCAGGTAGCTAGGCCTTTGCTGGGAAGCAGGGAAAGACCAGTAAAAGTGAAAAGTTATGAATTACATAGTTCACCTGCCATGTGCTTCCAACCCTTCTAGTCATCCTTGCTATAAACTGGATGGTATCTGTTACCTCCAAACTGCTCACTAATCCCGACCACCTTTTAGCAATTTTTCTCCTAAAGTACCCTGTGACTAAACCATTCTTACCTTTGTCAATCACATGTAGGCAGTGTATGAAGAAAAGTGTAGAATGTTGACAGCACATTTTTCAGTATTGAAAACAACCTAAGGGCAAATGTGCCTTGTTGTATCAAATGTGGGATTTCCTCCACTTTTGTGGCCAAGAGACTTTGGGCTCAGACAAACCAGGGTTGGAATCCCAGCTTTCTACTCATCAGCTGTGTCCCTTCTTGGATTCTGGCTTCCTGCTTGACCAGCTGAGGCCACAATTAACAAGATGGATATGAGAGTCAAGGGGGACTCCCTACCTAAGTCATGTATCTGGTACAGTGCCTGGAACAGTTTGTCCTGGGCGCCTCGCCAAAGAGATTCTGAAAGATCGGAGGTATAAATCCAGGTTCTTCAAGCCCAGATCTCATACTCACTGTTGTAAATGAGGTTGGAGGCAGCAGTGCTGGTTTGTAGAGATGTCAAGGATGCTTCAGCTGTGCAGAACACACCTTCCAGTTTTCCCTCGGACTTGGAGTCACAGAGACCTGGGACCCAGGCACACTGAACCTGTGTACAAGCAGCAGATGCTAATTTATATTCAAGAGGGATGCCTCTCTGTTGTCTCCCCAGCAGGACCAGACAGCACTGATGATTTCTTCCTCTCTGATTAACCTTTTATATCTGGCACATAGAACTGCATTATCACTTTAGAATGCCGGGCACCAGCACACTCATCGAGCTGCAGCTTTTATCAGTTGACTTCCACGACCACATACTTCCTGGTTCCTGAAGGAGAGGTGCGGTTCAAGGCAGAAGACTAAGCTCAACTTGAATAGGCTCTTTCTCAGGAACCTCCCAGCACCTTCTCAGATCTGGACACTTCAAACGTTAACTCACCAACACTCACTGGCCAGCAATTCACTCAAAGGGTGTGGCGCCTTTCTGACTCAAAGGGTATTATGGCCTCCTTAACAAGAGATGGTGGTTCTCATGGGCTCTCCTCCCAAGGGGTGGCTTTATCACTAATTCCACCCTTCACAGCATTGTCCGTGTACTGACCATGGAGGGGAGGGATGTGAGAACCTCTGAGTGCCTAGTGCATACCAGCTCTGCACAGAATGCAAGGGGCTTACATGTCATCCTCACAAGTTGTTGTTAGGAAGTATCCTCATTTCCATTCGATGACCAGCACCCCAAAGCATGGATCATTTCCAGGATCCACACATGGTAATATCTGCCAAGGTGATGGTGGCAGACCCTGATTGCAGGACACTCATGCAGAAGTGGCAGACTTGGCCCACTCTTCAGTGGAAGCTCAGGTGTGGCTAACTCAACAGGACCTCAAGTGCACCTGTCTGCCCTGGGTAATATTGTGTATGGGTGAGCACACTCCCCAGTAAGGCCACCAAACAAATCAGCAGAGCACAGTGCACTCTGTCCTGCAAATAGCTGCAGCCCACTACTTTGTTTCAAATAGAAGATACAAGAAGCCCCAGGCCTGGTACAAACATGCACCCCACTCCCTGCATCAGGCACATTTCCTGTCTTTCCCTGCACATACAGACCCTATATATACCCATGGACAGTCCTAATAAACAGACTCGGGACTCCAAACCCCAGGCTCCTGCTTCATTCTCTTAAGACATTCTGGCGAAGGTAGCAGTGGGAGGAGAAACACACTTTCTCTTAACAAGAGAGATTAAAATGGGGAACTCTGGAGGTAAACTGAAGGGAAATTTTACCTAAAGACATTTACATTACTTGGAAACTGGGGATTTCAGTCTGTTGAGGGCCAAGGTGAGGAACGTAGAGGTCAGCGTGCCCCTCGGTGGGTTAAGAACACTCAGGCATGATTCAGTTGCTTCTGTTCTTGGATTTAGCCCAAATGTTTGGGATTAAAGAGATTTTGATGAAGAAACAAAAAGGGTATGAGTTGGAGGGTGGGGAAAATGGGTGATGGTACAAAGGTACAAACTTCCGGTATATAATATGTATACATATATATTAAATTTCCTGGATTTGATAACTATACTGTGATTCTATAAGAAAATTTGCTTGTTTTTAGGAAATAGACATGGAGTATATAGAGATAGAGGAAATTACATGTCACTGTCTTTCAAATGATTCAGAAACAAATATGTTTGTGAATGTGTATGCGTGTACAGAGAAAGAGAGTAACGGAAAGAGATAAAGAGTCAGAGAGGGAATGTTGTAAAATATCAACAATTGGACCAGAATGCGTGGAAGATCTTTGTACTGTTACAGGGTAGCCCAGAGTAAACTGGACCGCCTGTCTGTGGGGCCTCACCCGTGTGCTCATAATTCGGTTACACTGCAGGTACACACACAAGGGTCAATAACGGGTTTATTTACAAAAGGGGAAAGGAATAGGAAACAGCCCAGGGAAAGAGAGTGGAATACAAAGTATCTGCAATACCTTACCGCTAGGCTGACTGAACACACTGAGTCACATGGTCAGGAGAGCTGCTTCCCACCCTATTTATCTCCCAAGTGTCCCAGAATTCCTGCTAGCTCCACCCTTGGGTCCTCACAGTTCTCTCCCTGGTACTGCTGGGAGTTGTAGTTTCCAATCACTGGAGTAGGGTGTAGGGTCCAGAAAGCTGGAGTAGGGGTTGGAGTCCATAAAACTCCGCCAAGTTCCTTTAGGACATCCTTCCCCCTAACAATTCCCCCCTTTTGATTTCATACCACCATATCTATGGTGGCATAGA